TCAGATCGGACACCTGGGGTGGAGCTTGAAGTTCTTCGGGGGTTCTCGTGGCCTACTTACTTGTCTTGAAACCTTCTCAACACCTTATGTAGGAGCCTCAAAAAGAGAGGTTTGGGGTGTACTTTACTGTAGGCGCTAGACTATAATCCCTGTACGCGTTATGTACCCTTTCCGGCGTGCAAGTAAGCTAAGTGTGCGCGTTGAGTTAGTGGTTCTCGTTTCCCCGGGCAACGTACTATCGCTGTTATTGTTCCACCCCTATGTTAGATAAGCTGCTCAGCTGTGGGATTTCTGATATCGGGGGTGCCTTAACAAGTGTTCCTTGCAGGATAGATCGAGTTGTTTAAAGTGTACAGGCGAATCTATGTGCTTTTCCAATCTTGACTTGGAGCCTAGGGCCTACTTGATTTGGCAGCAATGGAAACTTAGTAATCTGTTCATGCCCCTTTGGGTCTCACGGGACGGTCAGGCCTGAAAGTCCCAAGGGCCCAAACCAAACCCAAACCTGGCCTTGAAGCTTGAAACCCGAGGCTTCAGGCCATTCATCTCCTGCTGCAAAGGGGTTCCGATACTAAACCCTAAACGAGCCTTAAACACAAGAAAAATGATTCCGCTGCAGATTCGAAACCTAGACCCCTTTGCCAAAAAGGGGCTGCACCGGGCCGTACTGCAGGCGAGGCATCTTCCCAATGTAGGCATCGCCTTAAGAAGGCTCTCTGATGGGGGTGTTGCGGTGTAGAACTTAGAGGTTGGGTACTGCCCCCATACAGTAACAGTCTATGATAGGGCTGCTATTAAGGGCCTAGTATATCCATAATACAAATATTCTCCGTACCCAACTTAGAGGGTCTCAGGGCATTCAGAAGGGCTCTGCTTGGTCTTGAAAAGGTTCTGCACAGGCTTTGAAAAAGTTTTGTGGGGATTCCACGAGGGTTGGTGAGGGTTCTGTTATGTACATTTGAGGGTGAGGGCGCACGGTGCTATCAAGATACGCGGACCTAAGTCTAGTAGATGACAAATGGAAAAACTGGCATTATAGCTTGTCGGTTCCAGGTAATGGTAACCCTACTCTAACCTTTCAAGTGGGGCCATCGTGCTTCACAGCACCACTTTTGGGTGTTGAGCGGGTCTAGCGCGTTATTCCAGCCAGGTTAAATGTCATGATGCAAATCGTCAACATTTTCAGACTTATCTTGGTTGCACCGAGTGCAGATTGCCAGTAGATATGACAACTAGGCTGGCTAGACCAAAATCTCACAGGCTGATATCGTGAAACTTGCCCAGGTTCCTGCCGACACGAGAGGTTGTATTGGGATAAACCTGAGGAAGGCTTCGTCTGTGCCTTGCAAGGCACAGACGACCCCTCTGTCGCCAGGCCCGCTCAACTCTGGGGCCCAGGGCTCCGGGGCCGAGGGCCCCCTCACCCCCAAAGCCTGCATCCCAGATCCCGAAGCTCCGGAAGCCTCCTGATCCAAGAAAGGGGAAGCAAGAGTTGTGGAACGTCGAATGGTCTTCAGTCGGGTGGCTGTCCACTTGGTCAAGGAGCCAGTCGGCGAGGTCGGCGTATCTCAGAGGCTTCAAATCGGGTTCAAACCTAGACCCGCGAAGCCCCAAACCTGAGCCCCCAAGACAGGTAAGCCCGAGATAGCCAATCTTAAATCCCGAGTCCTGACTTGGGCTAAAGGGCCTGAGACCAGCGAGGTTCTGCAGCTTGCAAGGCGGGCTCATCTAGGGCCCGGGCCTAGGGCACAGAAACTCGAAACCCACCTAAATCTCCCGAAACCAGGATGTCCGCTGAAGCTTGTGAAATTCCCCTTAACCCTCAAACGGCACGCAGAGCAGGAGCCGAGTATCAAAGGCTCCTCTCTCTCGGAGGAGCCAGCCACCGAATTTACCGATCTAAGACTTCGGTGTCGATGCCAGCACGTGCCAGCTCATTTCTAGCAGAGCATGGACTTCTGAAGCCGGAGGAAGCCCAAAGCCACTCTTGCCTCAACTGTACAATGATAAGCTACCCCTCTCCCAATCCCGAGGGCCGAAACCTGAGCGTCGAACCTCCCAAGCTCAAAGGTGACAGCCTCAAACCTCCAATCCCGCCAGGCTTGCGAGTCAAAGCAGACTGCCCAGGGACGCCCAAAAATCCCGAAGCCTCGAAGCCTGCACATCCGAAGCCCAATAAACCCTAAACCCGACCTCCTGGTGCCAGACATGAGTGTCGGGCCGAATGCAACTTGCCTGAAAGGCATCGAGGTTTGGAACCAATGCCTGAGCTGACGTTCAGGGCTTGGGGCTCTGCTATCAAGGAGCATGTTCTTTGCTTCGAGCGCCGGCCCTAAACCAGTGAAACCCCCTTTTTGGCAAGCCATTCGAGCTTTGTGTTTTGTGGCTTTCGGGGTATACCTTGGTGGTGCAGACCGACAATCAAGGCAGACTCAAAAGCGAGTGTCTTCTTGAAGCTTCCAGGTCTTGACAGTTGGGGTCTGGTAAAGCTAAGCATGTAAGCCCCGAAAAGCAAGTGATAGGACGCTCTGCCAGCCTTGGTGAGCGGCCGGAGCCCAATAATCGTGCACTTTGTTATCAATATGCTATTTCTACAGCTCTGGCAATTCATTTGTCATCACATCTGACCGGCTTCTATGCTGGTTTGTTAGCAGGATCCACTTGTCGTCGTGGTGGTTGTTGTGGTGGTAGTAGTGAGAGTGGGAGCAGAAGCTGAAAGAGGATACTGATAGCTGCGGAATCCGGAGGCCCTCAACTTCATCCACGAGCCCCTGGGCTTAAAAGCCTCACGAGCAACACGTTTCGACACGTCCAAGCCGCAGCCCGACGCTCGCCTTCCTGCGAAAGGGCCGCTAAAGAATTCGGATCAAAGTGCCTGTAATTAGTTTGGGACTTTACTCAGGCTTTACGGTTTCAGGGTCCCAAAAACGCCCAGCCCAGGGCTAAGGGCAGAGTCTCAAAAGGGCGATTGCGGTCATACCAGGTCGAGGCATAGCTTTTGATGCATCGCCTTAGTATCTGCTTCGGGTCTTTTGTGGCGCTTTAATGACTGCCTCATGACTAGACGAAGTTCCGTTAAGATATTGATGGCTAGGTATTAAAGGGTTAAGGCTTCCAAGGTTTATTGAGTGAGGTTTTCGGGTTTGAAACAGGTTTGAAGCTACGTGATTATTGTGTTTTGGTAATAAGAGGTTAAAGTTCTCCCGTGTGTTGCAAGCCCTCTCTTCATACAGCAAACTCTCAACTCCTTTGGGTTTGGGCTCGAGAGTGAAGCGCAAACTACAGGGTACGATCCCCATGAGAGACTGTGGACAAGCAACAAAGGCCAGCAAAATCTGTGCCGGACAAGCTATTGGAGGCCACAGACCTGAAAGTACAAAGACTCCGAATCGCAATTTCAGGTGCTTCAGATTGAATACGGCTTTCTCTTTCGAAAATGGGAACAACTAGCTGGCAAAACTTAGCAGTTACTTACTAAACCCCTTAAAACAGGGACGGCAATGCACTTACAAAGGCCCTAAACCCTGAATCTTCATCCCAACAACCTAGACCCTAAACCTTCGACCCTAGGGACATGGTGTGCCTCTAGCCACACCGGCCGAGCCACAACCTCGAAGCCGCATACGGGCCGTAATAATTTGGATATGGATGCCCTCCGGGTTCCTTCTTTGGGGTCCAGGGGTTCCGGTTTACGATGTAGACTCAACTCTAACTCATGCCCATCTGTAGTCATTATGGGTAACCCCAAAATGATGGTATCCCAAGGAACATTTGCTGACGGCCGGGTAGAACTAAATTATGTGTGACCCTGACATGAGCACCACTCCGAGTCCCTGAACAACTGCAACATGCAAAATCTACGCAGCATGCAATACGATTTGAATTCGGAAATGCTTCGACATTGTCGTCGACCTGTTCTTACACAACTGCAATCCGTTTCAATGGGTCGAAGGGCCAGTGATAGGAGCGTTTTCGAAGCGGTGGTCCGGAGCGTTCTCCCCACCCCACCCCACCCCACCCCACCCCACCCCACCCCACCCCACCCCACCCCACCCCACCCCACCAGAGCGCAAATCTTGTATAGTTTCCAAAATCACTGAAAAGCCCGAGTCCAATGCTTGAGCCTCCGAGATCCCCTGATCGACTTTCTCAAAAGACTGACAGTACCGTTTGCCCCTGATCCCCAAATAGAGAAATCTAATTCTTTCAGCCCACGAGTTTCCAAAGATGCAACCTTTCTTTTTGACATCTTTATCCGACTGCAGTTGCTGACTTCAGTGTTTATAAGCTTAGTGTGCAGTGAAAAATTCACACGCCGACCCTTCCCTTAAAGCATTCGGGACCCGGCCCATGGAACATCTCGGACCTGCTGATGGAGGTACCTGTGGCATCACTAAGGCGCACAATACCTCGTCACGCAGAACCGACTTCCTAAACCCTGTTGCGCAACTGGCCCGACTTTGCCAGGATGGGGGCCAACAAAAAAGCTCGACAGCCCAAGAAGTAAGGCTTCGGGCTTGGGGGTTTCGGAACAAGAGCATGCGTTTAAGGCTTCGGAAATGATGTCATGGATTCCCCACTCCAACCCGCCTGTGCTACCAACGGGAGGCGCATGTTTGATTGTGCGGTCTAGGGGCCAGGCATCCCAGGTAGGCCATGAATACTACACCCAGGCAGGAGACAGAATCACTTGACTCAGGAATGGTTCTTGCATTCTTAAGTCCGAACTTGATGGTAGGCAAGCTGGGCGAAAGGCGGGGCGAGCATGTTCGAAGCCACTGCAAGAATTCCTAGTGCTGCGATTTCCATCAGCCTGAGTCTACCAGGAAGAATGATGCTAATATTTCGGCCTGAAGCTGTTGAGGAACTGAGGCCTATTGCGGTACGGCGATTTCAGTGGCTTGCTGGGGTAAAGTTGTGTCTGGGGTGGATTAGTTCAAGATTCCTGCATGTATGTGTGGAGTCCATCAAGGTCCCACTGCTTCCTAGCATCGTTCTTCTCGAGGCTTCTGCACGATCTGCTGCCTTCGCCAAGACACTGCTTCGTCCCAGGCCTGCTTTACAGCCTGGTTCGAGAAGTCCTGGGGCCGCGTGAAAATGCCCAGTTTTTTGCCTCTGATGTAGCATTGGGCGTGCCAGCACTGGGCCTTCACATCCCACGTCACGCCCTTTTCAGGGCCGAGCTTCTCAAAACATCGCAGGTCTGAGAGCTTCCTCACCGGCAGCACCTCGATGTCAGGCTGAACCCCGAGCTGCGAAGCCAGCTCCCGGGCCTTGGCCTCGGCTTTCTCCTTGGCACGGAAGCAGCCACCATATACTTGCTTCCTCGTGACCGGATGATACAGCCGAACATGCCACTTCTGCTGACTTCTGTCAAAAAAGACGCCCCTCACTGTTGAGCGCAAGGTCGCAGCAATGGGCTTGGGCGGCTTCAACTTGCCCTGGTGCACGAGCTCCTCACGGTAAGCCTTAGCTTCCTGAAGCGCGGCCTCGACAGCCGCCTCATCTCCAAGGCCCTGCTCAAGGAACTTGGCGATGGGAAATGACCGACATGTATTCTTCCATTTCGTGCCATTCCTGGTGAAACACTGGCATTTCCAGGACCCTCCCACCACACTCCAGGTGATGTTTTGGATGCCACTCTGGCGCTCGAGTCTTACTCGCACCCTGTGAGGCTTTAGCTGATGAGAAGCTTCACCGTGGATTTCTGTAGCGAGCTGGGAGCCTTGCACCTGTGTGACCGAAGGTGCCTCTGTCGACAGCATGAGCTGGTCCACTACCTGCTTAATTTTCAGCCAAGCCATCCCCGCAGCCGCACCTGCAATCTCGCCGACCTTGTCCTCAAACTTGCTGATCTTCTGTTGCACGAAATCTAGGACATGTTCGATGGCATGACAGTCGAACTGGTTCATCCGCCACACATGGAGAACGTGCAGGAACAACGACCGCACACGTCCCTGCAGATCAGGATTCGGATCGTCTGATTCCGCAGCGGCAGCTGTTTCAGCGTCGCTGAAATTTTCAGCAGGCCTGCCGTCTCTGCGAGGAGCGGCCAGGCAAGCTGCAGCCAGGATGACGATTTCCGTCAACTCTGCTTGGCTCAGACTCCTCCGAGGGCACTTTACTGCCTGCTCTGCTTGCTTCAAGCGCTCCAACTTTTGAGCATCGCTTAGAAAACCCCACTCATTCATCTGTCTGAACAATGTCATATGCTGGTCAGACTTGGCAGATGCACCGACAGATGCCGAATGGGCCGTTCTTCCGTTTCCAAAAGTATGCACGACTTCGTCCAACTCGGCTTTTGGTGTCCGTTCTGCATCAGCAATATCGTCATCTGTACCAGCCACCACAAGATCAGCCAACGACTTATCACACCGACGGCGCAACGCCCGAAGACTTTTTTGCAGCTGCCGTTCTGCCTCATTCCAAGCATCATTGGCCGGTCTTCTAGGGAGAGACTGGAGAAAACCTTGCATGTCCAAGAGGACATCTCTCAAACGAGATGGTAGCCGTGAATCATCCATCTTGTCCGTGAGCTGCTTCAAGAGATTCAGCTCCTTGACTTCGGGAACCCGTCCCTTTGGGCCATAGGCGATCCAGGAGGCCACGGGGGCAGCATGCCTTCGCAGGGCTGCCTGGTCGAAGTGGTCTGCTTTCTTCGAGTACCTGCTGATCCTGAGTTGTCTGATCAAAGTTCAACCTTTCCTGCCTCGTGCTACTGCTGCCCTCGCAAGCATGGGCACCTGGCTGCAGCAAAAGAGCCTCTTGCCGGCTACTGTCTACGTATGCTGCAATTACTGCCACCGTCAAAAGCATAGTACCACCACGATGACGACTCCAAAGACTGCCGCTGCTACTCCTGCTGCAGTCCACTCCGAGTGGTGCTGACAACTGCTGGGCTCTTTCCCTTGATCATGTTTCTGCACCAGGGCAGTAATTATCAAGATGATGTGTTGGCGTTTTTTGGCGGAGGTGCAGGTGGGAGCTGTAGTGGCAGAGGGTTTTGTGGGCTGCTGTTGATGAAAACGCTGGGCGAGGCATGAGGCAGGTGTGTTCCTGTCGCCGCTGCTGCAGCGGCTTTCGTTGCTGCTGCTGTCGTTGATGATGCCGCCCTCGCTACTCTGCTGCTGATGCAGTCGCCCTACTGTTCCTGTTGTTCTTATCCGTTCTTGTTGTTACTGCCGCCTGTGTGCTTGTGATTGCTGTCGCGGTCGTCGTTGCCAGTGACATGTGACTTTATCGAAGTGGTTGACGTTGGAGTCGCGGTCATTGTCATAAGTGTTGATGTTGCTGCTGTGGTCTTCGTCATCGTTTGCTGCGGTTCTGCTGCTGCTGGCGTTGGTGATGGCGCGGCTGCAGTAGTGGTGGCATCATTCTCAAGAACACTGTCTCTCCGAAGGGCCTCGCAAGCTGTTGTTGCTCGTTACTGAGATGGCCTATGTCCCTGACCCTCCAAAGAAAGGCCCAGCAGCACTACCGACTTGTGCGAATGGCGGTGATACTGACGAGCGTGTCTGTGCAACCGGCGGCTTTGTGATCGTGCCATGGCGGCTCGGGTCCTATAGGTCTGGCCTTTCTGGAGCAAACGCAAACTCTGCGACTCCCTAATTTCAGCTAGTGCTGATACAACTAGCACCACAAACTATACGTGCCACTCCACGTCAAGTGTGCAGACCCTACATGGTGTCATGACATCTGTATCATCGACCCACGTTGGAGATCGTCGAAGTCTCGGTAACGGCAAGCAGGTCCGAAGGGAAAACCATCCTTCTCTTTCGAAACCCCTGCGCCACCGAAAAGAATACCCAGTCTGCCATCAAGCATCAAACACGAATTTAAGGACGGCCCTGTAGGGCATGTTCAGGAACTGAAATGAACGACTTTCACACCCATGGCCCTGCATCTCGAAATCCCAATGCCAGTTCCCCTCACCTCATCACTCGCTCGCCATCGTCCACGGTGTTGGACGACAGCTGCCACCTTCAGAGTCAGCAGGAGCCGTTTCCATGTCAAGCGGCTGAGTTATCGCCTACGTAGTTGAACATTGCCGTAAGTACCCGTAAAACACCAAGTTTCTGGCTTCGGGTGGAGCCTTAACGCGAGCAGTTGCATGGAACCGGCACCATACTTAGCAACAAAAACCTGCGAACAGCATCATGTCCGTCATGCACAAAGTTCAGGGTTGCCTAGCGGTGCAACGGAAGACGGTAGAACGTCGTCAGCTTCACCTGTTCTTTTTCAGCCGAATCCGAAAATTCACCCGCTGAACTGGGGAATTTGACACGGTTTCAACATCAGCCCGGCTGGTCGGGCCGTAGATCCTACATGCGATGTCCCGAACTGCTAGACCCATGCGAGTCCCGACGGGAGCTATATATCACGAAAAACAGCACGGGAAGGGGGAAGAGTCCTTTGAAGGTTCCCCCCCCTAAGGAAATCGTTCTGGAGCGAGCTTCATGAATTCGATGTTTAAGTTCCAAAGCCTGTAAAACTTCAAAAAGTAAGTTGTCCTTGGGTTAATTAGGTTTGTTTTGTCCAGAAACGCTTGGCAAACAGGGTCGACATGGGCAAGAGGAAGAAGTTCAATACCGGGGTCTAAGTATAGTATAATATACCCTAAAACCCTGTTCTAGTTGTTAAGGCCCCTATGTTGAGCTACATCCCCAAAAAACACCCTGTTAAGCCTTTTCCCTCCAAGGTCTCAGCCGGACGACAGCGCGTGTGAGCCGCCCGGGTGTGAGGAGACCCCACCTGGCTGGAAAATGTGAGCCTTTGAGGAACTGGGGGTAAAAGGTTTAGAAGCCTACTTTGAGGTTCCAGAGCTTGAGTCGGTGTTGATGTAGAACTCAGGTGCATTTGAGGTTGCGCCGTTTTGTGCTGAGACGAGCCAAGCGAGGTAAGTCTGATGAGGTCATTGCAACACCAACGAGGAACGGTCCAAGGTCCTAGACTGGGTTCAGGCTTCTCAGCTTTAAAGCATTAGGGATCAGAATCAGCAAGATGTTGACACGGACTCTTAAGTTGCTGCCCGGGATTTCCATGGCTGCTCGAGCGTCTAGTTCCGGCTTAACTCCACTCCGGAGAACCAGCTCGGCGTCCAGATTTTACCAGGCTGAGGGTTTTATTTGCATGTTTAGACGCTCTTCTCGAGCGATTGGGAGCATCCTCGCGGCTTCTTCGGAGAGCCCTTAAGGATTGCTCTCAAGGCTCCTTTAAGCAACTACGAAGGTCCTATCGGAGTGCAGGGCTTAGGCCTCCTGAGCTTGCAGCTTTGGCGAAAAGAGGTTTGTCTTGAGCTACGTGGCATCTGTGCAAGTTATGGACTTCAAGTATGCTGCAGCTCCTGGAATTGAGCTTGCAGTGGATTCGCTAACCACTTTCACAACGGGGAGCTGAAGCTGAGAAGACAAGGCTACTGCTGACAGTCCCCGTAAAGAGCCCTGCGTGGAGAAAGCAGGCTGCCCCAAGACCTTTTAGCCTTAGACTACTTCCTACGAACACTGCATAGCACAACCCATTCTAGCATGCACGGTAGATCAGGCCATAGGTCAGAGTAAAAAAGACACTGGCTCCAGAAAACTTGATTCTCAAACCATAAACAACTAGGTCGTACAGCCTGAGCGCGTACAAACTCAACCTTGCCATTCACTTCGTTCGCTCCGAAGATTTCTCAAGTTCACACCCGCTCGGGCGGGCCATTCACCGGGAACGGCGGCCAAAGCACATGCCTGCAAGCAGGCTCTGGCATGTAAGGGTTTGGGGAATCGGGATCACTGAGTGGGGATTTTGGTACCACTGCTTTCAAGTATTCTCCAAACTGCAGATTCAAGCAAGCAAAATGATGGTCAACTGCTTTATGAGTCACGGCGCTTCGGCCTTGGTTGCTGCTGGATTGGGCGTGTTTTGGCCATTTTGGAGTTGTGCACGATTCGAGTCCAGGACCGTTCAGGATAAGGCGAGCCTGCATCAAGCACAGCTCCAAAGGGCAACTGGGCACATCATAGAATCAGTAGAAGTTACCCATCGTCACCAGCTCCTCTCCGATTGCCTGCACTACGAGCCGGAGAACTCCCGCTTTCCGGCAGGCGGCAACCTGGCAAGCACGAGAAGTGTCGAGCTCAAGAACTGCCGGGCTCAGAACTTAGAACCCTTCAAAGCAACCTGAAATCTCAATCCCTGAATCTTAACCACACTCAACATGCAGATCCCAAAAGCCTGAATTACCGCAATTGATGCTCTCGAAGATTATGGTTCTCATGTCTGAGACTGGCAGCGATGTCTGTTGATTGCTTGGACGTTGGTTCCAGCTCTCTCTCGCTCTCACTCTGTCACTCTCTCCCTCTCTCTCTCTCACATTCTGTCACTCTCTCCCGCTCTTGCTCTCTTTCTATCTCTCTCGCTCTGTCTCTCCCTCCCCTTAGCTTAGGCAAAATCGGCCATGGAAGAGGCAGGTTCGCGGTTCAGCGCACCTCAAGACACCGAACTAAACCCTGAACAACTCCCTGAACTTTAAACCCTGAGCTAGACAGCCTCTTCTAAAGCTTCCGAACCCGAAGCTCATGCACAGCCGACGATGTTCGGCATGGCAGCAGCCACCGGACCAGGCCTAGGGTTTCGGATATACAGTACCGGGTTTCGGGAGTTTAGGGGCTTACGGCCTTTGTAGGGTTTGTAGCATTGGGGATCTGAAGATTCGACATCACGATCGGCTTCGGACTTGGAGTTCAAGCTCTCTGAGTGCTTTGGTTTAGCCGGGTTTCAGATTTTGGAACTCATGCTTGCCAAAGAAACACGCAATAACCGTTCTTGATAATTCGGCACTTGCTTGTGTATGTCTTCCGCAAACACAGCAAGGATGGCCGATCCCCAGCCCCAAAGGAGCCTAATCCCCAGCCCAGCACCATTTCCGAAGATGTCTGGATCTCTCCACGCCTCACTCTGTAAGGCTTTAGGGTTCGGGTTCAGGACACAAGTTTGCAAACCGCCTTGTGAAGAGAATGTTGCGTGGCTGGCACCAAGACAAACTAGTTGATCCAAAATCCAAATTCCCCAAGACCCTCAACATCCCAGAGCCAACAACCTAATAAATCGAAACCTATAAACCCTAAACCCAGAATCCGAAATCCCAAACCCTAAACCCAAACTCTGCCAGGCCAAGAAAAATTGAAACCGCGACACTGGCCGCTCTCAGCGCATCTGGGACTCCGGGCGCGGTCTCCGGGTTAGCTCCAGCAGTGCAGAGCACCGCCTAATTAAAGCTAAGCTTTAGGGCTCAAGGTTTTAGATCTTGTATATATATATATGTATATATATATGGGCTTACAAAGATTTGACGGCCTGGTTGCAGGCATGACTTCTGTGCCGTCGCTTGCTGCTGCATTACGCGTTACGGTTCCGACGTCGAATGTTCCGCTCCACCCCTCCCTCTATGGCCTTGCTGTTGGTACTGCTGTTGTTACAGAAGGTTCGGCGCTTGAGTCAGCCAATGCTCGTGCGCAAAGGGCAATTCATCGCGAAGTGGCAAAGCAAAAAACCCGGAATCACGATACATGTACCCGGCAGATGGAGAAAGAGGGTTCATGGCTCAAGTCAGTTCTATCAATGACGGGGCAGTGGCGAATGTTTCTTGTTGTCCGTGGGTTAGGTACCGCGAGTTGCAGACCTTTGAGATTTGGGTTTAGAGCTTCCGAACGGAAGAGAGGGTGTGGGATGGTGTCGGGTTCAACCGAGGTCCCGATTCTGGCCCTGTTTGTGCTTTAGTCCACTGAGCAGTGGAGTGCTGTTCATGTGTTTCATAGAACGGCTGTGGCCCAGTACTGAAGCAATCGAATTCACAAAGACCAACACTCCCCAAAACCTGTCAGACTAATCCTCTGCTGGCGCTTATGCTGTTGCTATTGTTGCTGCTCTTTTTTGTGACTATTGCTCTTGCATGTGCCACTGATGTTGTTGCTGCTGTTCCAGCTGATGTCAGTGCTGCCTTTCTGTGCTGATGCCATTCGGTATTCGCAAATGCTGTGGTCGTTGTACGCGTTGATGCTTTCTGTTGCGCTTGCCGTGGTGCCGCATGTCTTGTGGCAGTCGAAGTGCTTGTTCAGTACAGTGCTGTCCCACTTATGGCTGAAGTTGTGCGGTACCATTGTTATTGCCGCTGCACGGTTGCGATTTCGCGCTATATCTTCAATATCAAACCAAAGCTACAGGACTCCCCCAAACCACTCGATCTCCCATCCCGAGAACCCGGCAGAAGCGCCGACCACTGCATCAAAGATAAGCGAGGCTTCCGCGAGATCTGCGACAACAACCTGCCAAAGCTCAAAAAGACTGCCACGGTCACCACCACCCCGGCTGCCAAATCTTTAAGCAGTAGAATCACGAAGGGCATCGCCCACCTGCATCAGCGATTGTCGTCGTCACAATCATCGTGCACCTCCACCGCCACCTCCTCCTCCTCCTCCTCATCATGCACACCAACAACTACTGCTGCTGCTCCTCTGCTTCCTGCTACTGCCACAATTGGTTAATGACCACACCGGGCTTTTGGCAAAATACCGGCACCATAATAGCTCTAGTAGTTTTAGGGTTTCGGGCTTAGGAGCCCTAGTAGCTAAATTAGGACATCTGTGGGGTTTAGAGTCTAAAGCTCACTATTCCCAAACCGTCAGGTCACGACAAAGCACCTCCCTCCTTCGCACACAACTACCATTTTGCACACTCCCCAAACGTACCCAGGCTCAAAACAGCTAAGAATGCTTGGGATTCCTGAGCCGCAGATGGGACGGACAGTCGGGCAAACCTCACCAACCGCCAGAAATGCCCCAAAACCCGCGACCCGACTGGGGACCTCCAGATGCTGGTGGTGCATGAGCTCACCCAACCTTGAAGACTATGAAGGGGCCTTAATATGCTTGAGAAGGTTTCATGGTCCTTTATAATATAATGAGTTTGCCTGGAGGCTCTTCTTTATTTTAGGCTTTATACTTCCCGGTCTGGATGTTCGGTTGTGGCTAGTTCCACTCTGGCTCGTATTACCCTTCACTTGTTTCATAGGTGCCTCGTGTATGGTCGCAGTCGGGAGTGAATTCTGTGTCACGCCGACCAGCACCTGTTAGACCTCGCCTGGCTTGTCCAAGTTGTGAGAGCGTAAAGCGCTGAGTTCAAAACCCGAAAATCAAAGGTTCTTTTAATCATCAAATACACCCCAAAGCGCCAAGGACGATGGCTTTGGACTTCAGAAGCAAAAAACTTACAGCATTCAGTTACACCACACAAGAACTAAGCATTGACATGTGCACCTTAGAACCCCAGAGCTTTGAGATTGGTCCGCTTGACCCCAACAGCCCGTGAAGTCTTGGAGCAGAAGGGCCTGAATAGTTTGTCGTAGGGATTCTGCAGGGGTGTAGAGGTAACTAGTCACAATACCCTAAACTGTGTATCTCTCTCACTCTCTCTTTGCAGCGGAGGCAGCACTATGCGGAGCCTTGCCGGCCTTGTGCGAGTGTGAGAGTCGAAACTGTGTATCCGCTTAATAGTTAACTATACCTCAACTTACACCCATCTCGATCAAGCAGTATCCTGAAGGGTTTTGTAAGGGTTGCTATCAGGGCCACTATAGGGATGCAAGGATTTGAAACTAGTGACACTATCCATTCATATTTCCGTCCATGTTAGTCCATGTTAGTACTGCAAGATGAACAAGTTCTACGGCTTGAGAAAGGGTTTCAGGAAAGCGATTTGCAACAGCGATTTTCTAGTTCAACTGATATGACAACTGGACTCCAGCTTAGAACTTAAACCCTCGACTACGACGCTCTACGCCCAAACGGGTTGTTGAAAACATTGGCATCATGAGCGTACACACATCAACCTCCTCATCGCATGTCGAATTGCCGACACACCGCCAGATGGCCAAATGCCCAAGGAAAATCCCACTGTGGGCCGCACGCATCTCTCAAACGAGCGGTGCTCCTAACAGGCTCTACTTTGTCTAGCCGCTGGGTTATCGTGGAGAAGGTGGCCTCATTAAGGCGGGGATCTAGGCAACCTAAAGCACCCTCTGGCAGGAGCTAGCGAGTGAGTGCTGAAATCCTCTTTGATATGAGACTCGCACGTCCAACGCATTTTCATGGATACGTCCTTCAATCCTTTCTGGGCGAGCGAAGGAGTGAACTAGCGTAGCATGCAACTGAAAACAAGAATACTAGTCAAGCATTCCAGTTTGGCATGTCTGTACAAGCGCACGGAAAGGTACTTCTTCAAACAGTTCGGAACCCCGAGATGTCTCAACTGTAACACTAAGATCCCTGCCACTTGCTCTACGCAACTCCGGTGCTCCAGTTAGCCTAATAATGATTATCAGGTTAAGACACACAGTGACGAGGAACCATGGCGACTGGAGCTTGAGTGCATGAAAGCAGACAAAGCAGGGACTGGCGTGCCTGACCACAGCTCGGACGCGGAAGTCCTTGGCCAAAGCTGCCTTGAGCCAGTGCCACACACCGTAAGAAGACTTCGCCACTAATGTAGACCCCTGATTAACAAACCTCCTCTCCAAGATTAAACAAAGGAATCCGAATATTCGGGCAACTCCTTAAAGAAAGGGGTGGGTTATGAATCAGGGGATTGCAATAGATGTAATCCTTAAGCCATCTGAACGCGAAACCCCTGAACACTATGGCCCGAAATCCTAAGCGAAAACACTCGATTCGAAACTCCCTGGGGTTTAAGTGCTGAGGAAGCGGACATCTGCAGCATGATGCCAAATGCCGACTACTTGAAACTTAATGCGAGATGGCATTTGAGGCTAACAGAACAGATTGAAGAGCTGTGCTCATAATCTTGCGAAGGAAGACAGATCGGATGGGCAACCCCAACTTGGGAAAGCTGGGATGCACCGCACAACATCAACAGCCGTGGCAAAGCTTCTGATAGGTTGCCCCATGGCCGGCCAAGCCGCACCGTTTAGCTCAAAGCCTCGCGACCAAAGTCCCTGATCCTTGAAGGCCCTGTGGATGATGTCCATACAGTACAACATACTTCCCACAAGAATCTCGTACTATCTCGTACTCAAAACACCTTGCCGCAACAACTATTAAGCCTCTATAGGAATTCAATTCCACCAACCGCTTTCCCTTCCCTCATGTCCACCGTCATAACAACCCCAAACAAATTTCAAGTCCGTTTCAAGTACATTAGGAACCTCGAACCCCGGTCGAATTAGTAAATGAGGGCTCTTAACCCGAAGCAATAGCTTCGGTGCTTGAAGGGATGTATTGTTCTTACCCCTGGGATCCGATTTCAGGAGACACCCCTTGGTCTCCACCACCTCCTGGTTTAGGGTTTACGCTCTCACAACTCGGACAATAGCCAGGCGAGGATCCGTAGTCGCAGGTCGGTGTGATACTAATAAGACAGCGCCCTAGCCCGCGACTATTCAAGAAGAAGGGTAGGGGTAAGCGGTATAAGGGGGACACTAAGTAGATTCACAAGCCACTCGCTAAACGTACTAAGCTACAAAGACGGAGGATGTCTCACACAACTAGAGGTCTAGGTGCAACTCCACACAACAGGCTCCAGCTAGAGGCGCGGCAGGAAGTAGCACAACCATCCTAAGAAACTAACAAAGAACACTCAAGGAGTGGGGGCTTTGGGGTCAGAGGCTGCAGACTTTGCCAGCGATAGAAAGCACACGAAGCTGGACGGGCCTCTACCACCGCAGCGCCCGTTCCTGCAAAAAAGGAATCTCCGCGATGGGAGCCCTTGACGAAGGTGTCGAGATTACGGCTGATGCAATTCTTAAAAGCAAACGAAGGCACTAAGCCACTAAGGCCCTTCAGCCCGATGTTTCAAGGCCCAGAGACTCCCAAACCAAACCATGTCTGAAATTCTCTCGCATCCCTCTGTATCATAAACCGTCGGCCCTTCCGCATCCGCCCCTTTAACCTGAAGGACCTCACTCACACCGAAGACCCCTGAAACCCTTAGACTTAGCGACGGACCTAAAACGCCTAAATTCCTACACCCCCTACACCCTCAGCCCTAAACCCTAAATAAACCCCCCATGAACCCTTAAGCCACCAACCCTAAAACGAACCCGAAAACAGGCCCAACACCTCCGCCTCCCACAGCCGCCACCTCCCTACGACCCTCCCAAGGAACCATGTAGAACAGCGCTGGGCGCAGAACCCCAAGCTCTAGGCTCTAAGCTCCAAACAACTAAACCCAACAACCCCCATTTTGAACGCCAAGCCCTAAACTCCAAACCCCCAAGCAACGCCCAGCTTTCAGGGACGTGCCTCCCGAGGCTCCGATGACGACCAGAAGCCTAACACTTTTCCGTGCATTGGTCCGTTGGGGTTTTAGGATTCGGGTTCAGCATGGATACAAGACTAAGTTTACGCTGCCAGTCCGCAGCAGGTCCCTTTGTTGGAAATCAGTGTAGCTACCAATCGCAAGCCCTCCGGGCTGCCAGGGCTGAGAGCAGCAGAACTGCAAGGACTCAATGGTGTAAGTGTGCAGGAACTTCGCTACTCCAACTCCAAGCCTAACCCCCACCCTCAGCAAAAGCCCCCAAACCTATAAAAGCCGGCCTTCGCCCAGTGCTGGCTGGGGAAGAAGCGGCCTCAGCGTTGAAAGAGATAGGTCTCTGCGTGTGCACATTACGCTTTGAAAGATGTAAGGCCTTTAAGTTAAAGGCTTGAAGGGCTTCATGGCGGGCTTGGAGTTGAGGGTTTGCGGTTGAAAGGTAAAGGGCTTCAAGAGCTAAGGGTCAGACCTGCAAGGCTGATAAGGCCCTGTATAAAGCTCGGCTCCACCTCGATCAAACGCCACACTTCCTCAACCCCGCAGCCCTGAACCATCGCAGCCCGATCAGACTCGGATAGAGCTTAACAGGCATTCGGGATCAAGGCTCGCATCTGGACCTGTCGGCTTTGAAACATGTGGGGCTTCTTAAAGTTACAGGGTCCCCCACTGAAGGCCCAAATATGGCGGCCCACACTAGGGGCACTATTCTGTGTGTATTTTTGGGGGTCAAAACCCTAGAGTGTAGGATGGTTTGAGGCCCCTTGGGTTGAATTAGGGCCTTTAGGGTGTAGCTTAGGGTCTGTATCTTCAGGGTTGAAGGTGGTTCGGTTTGGGAAAATCCCACATGCTACTCTCCGAAGCAGCCGAAACCCCGAAGCAACGGTCTCCCAATGCCGGCCCAGCCAGAAGTGCGAAGCAGCGGCAGCCCAAAGCCACAAACCAAAGCCCGACGAAGATTCCCAAACATTCACGGTTTAGGGTTTTTTTTCCCACCCGCCCAGCTGACAAGTCGCACCGCAGGGATGACTTTAGAGTTCGAACTCCGGAGAAAGGGTTTGGGCCTCCAAGGAAAATGCAGTCTCCCTAGTGACAGAACAACCACAAGTGACAACCGTAGGCAAGAGGGAGACTACATCGTCGTCGGTAGCCCTGGTTTAGGGTTTAGGGTGTAGGGTTTGGGGTTTACGGTTCTCTTTGGGCTGTTAAGGCTGCAATGCCATCGCTGAATACAACCCCCCAGGGCCTAAACTATAGCAAGACCTCGTTGAGTGACTGGGGCATGCGCCTAAACGTTCAAAGTCCTTCTACATGGCATGAGCCTGGGTTACGGGAAACATGGCAAAAATAAACCCAATGCCCCATATACCCTTAAACTGATGTAGGAGATTCCGGAAACCTTCGTTTTTTCTCCGCGGCTGGGAGGATCGAAAGCACGGTGAAACTTTCAACTCCCCTTTGCACAAGAGGATTCCTGGCGTTCCATGTTTTCGAACCTAGGAAGATATTTAGGGCATGGGCAATCTGCTTCAGTCGGCATCGAACTTGGGCTTGAGGGGTAAATCAAGATTCCTCGTGTTTAGGTTGGGATTGCAGGGGACGGTATGGGTATAAGCCACGGCACGGCAGTTTATGGTCGGACACCAAAGTTGCAACTATCATTTACAGAGGGCTTCGGGAAGTTTACGGGCTTTCATAGATGCGAAGAAATGCCAAGAAGAGGAGAGCTGTTCCGTATGCCCAACATGATTTACACACCTTATTATAGCGCCCATGACCTGGTAACGAGCAACATGGTCGACCTGGCTTGTAGGGAAGGATTGGGCTTGCTCTGCAAGGGAGATGCGTCACTCGACGGCGGTGAGACGATTTGTGAATCTCCAGCTGGGATAAACGAGGCTTTCATCTTAATTCGGAGTTGTTGAGGGTTCAAGCGTTTCGGGTTCAAGGCTGTTCATTTCGGGCTTTGAGCGTCGCGCTTGGTGTAGCTTTGAGTATGAGCTGTGTGTCTCTATAGGGGTATCGGAGATGATGCGATATCGTGGGATCAGGAAGTAGGCAATACTGTCCCAAGCTGCTCCGATACTCGGAAGCTCTGAAACAAAGGTCGTAGCTCCACGTCTTCAACACCTTCAGCACTAAACTGCGTATAACTCCCCTCATCAATCTGGGACCTCTCTCCCTCGAGTTCCCTATGCCCCATGATCCCGAAGGACCGCCCTAAAAGACATACCGAAAGGGAAAGGGGGATCATCCTCATCATGTTGCAGAGCCCCGTGAACCCCGTACAATTTCTTTCTAAGGTTTGAAGCTTTCCCTAAACCCTATGTTGCATGATTTAAATGTTCCTTAATTGATTTTTATGATCCCCATAAGAACATTGGATGGCAAAACAAGGGCCCATAATGAACTGCATTGAAGGGCCTCGAGAACCCGAATGGCTGCAAGGTTGCTCTTTCGAAATGCAGCGTGTATTGTAGATCATTGTAGTGTACTTACTTTCCTAGGAAGCCGTCTTAGCCGTTCTTGTTTTGCTCGACCACCCTCGGCCCTACAATCTAACCGTATCCTGAACGACAAAGTGGCTTGAGTGAAGCACCTTTGTCTTCGTGGCATAAGGGTCTGGTCAAAGGGCTTTCGTCAAAGGGTCCTGTGTGTATGTCATGTTCCTTCAATTCCCTCCTTAACCTTACAATCATGGCAGTATTCCCCCAAGAGGTTACTGGTCAGGTGTTCTGATGCTAACACAGCTGGAGATGCCGTGGCATTCTAAACTAGCATGCTTGGTGAAATGCAACAACGAGCTACCTGGAGTTCCCTTAATCCAACTCCGTACGGGCACAGCCTCTAGTACTAGCCAACGTCCTAACCTATGAAACCCCAAGCTATGAAGGTGGAAAATGCTTTCGGCCATTGTCGGCTCAATGTGCGCAACCCGAGACGGCTAAAGGCCCCAAGCTGCCGAACTGTCTTGCCTTAAGCAGCAGCATGATGATTGAACATGTGGGAGTTTCAGAAGCTACGCAACCCTAGGACAAACAGTAGACACGAATGCGGATCCAAACTGTAACATTGCATCACGGGATAAGGCCCCTCGGAAGTTTTAACAGATCCCCACATGGTTCCTCTCCTTTGCTATCTCGGGTCCACACGGGCCCACTTCTGCCTTCATTGCAGCCGCAATGCTTCTGCTAAGCCTTTGGAGAAACCTGAGGAACCTGCCTTTTTAGGGTTTCCTACTATAGGTAGCAAGTCCTAAATGCAGGTTTCCTGGAGCTCGGCATCCCGTACTGAAGGGTCTTTATGTTACGGATGCTACCACTTGGGGTCTACCGTGATGCCCGTTAGTTCTGCAGCTCCAGAATACCAGACCTTGACTTCTGAACCCCAGATCCTGAACCGATTGTATCTGCGAAAGATTGCGGGCAAGCAAGCTTGCGGGCTTTTCCCCAACTACAAGAGACTCCTTGAGTTCAAGAACCATGCCAGGAGTTCGGCCCTAGAGCTCTTAATTATAAACTTTCCGGCGCACAAGCATGCATGTAAGTGTCCAAGAAAGAATCGAAACCCTTGACACTAAAATCTTGCCTATCAACTCTGAGGCCCAAGAACTACCTTAAGAACCCAAAACCTACTTTTTTGTAGGGTCCCTATAAATCCCTTATTAGGGTTTATAATAAGAACCTACAAGAAAGTGGGTTTTGGGTTCTTAAAGCAACCCTAAACCCTGAGCCCTCGAAGGCCAGCGTCTCATATCAGGCAACCCCGGCCAAGATCGACCGACATCGGACGCACACTGCGGACTGCATGCCACCTGCATGCGAGCTTCATCCGCAGGGTGTTGAACGTTCAGGTCTGTGAGGAGCCACACTGTATCTCGGCTACGTCACCGAAACCCGCCAACCTCAACTGAAAGCTTATCAACACAAGCGTCTCACAGGCTTAAGCTACAAAGCCGGATTTCCATGAACGTAACAAGCTTAAGTCACCAGATGCTCTGTTTCACAGACGGTCTCAACAAAGACGGGTCTAAACAGCAAGCGAACCTGAAGCTATATCTTTTTTGCCAGGCCCTGCGAAACATGGGAACCGACTCCTAAATCCGACTGAATCCCCTGCACTGCAACCCTCAAAAGCCTCTGGAATCCCGTTTAAAGCCCTAGAGCCCTCGCAGAACCTAAACCAAATCCGAAGTCTACACCCAAAACTCCCGTGGCGCCCACGGCCTTTCTTTGCTTTGAGCCTGAGCGCCGCATCAACCCGGTGAACGCATGTGCTTTTACAGCTTTTACAGGGGCCTGCAGAGTTCAAAGGGGTCTAACTAAGCACACGATGGAACTAGGATGCTTGACCGAGTGGGCGTGTGTGGGTGTATCTATTGACCTATATTATATCTATCTATCTGCATGTCTCTCTCATACCTCTCTCCGTCTCTCCAGCTCTCTAAAAAATACATACACATTATACCTACACATGCGTGCATGCATCAAACATTTACTAGTTGGCAGTCAAGGGGTTGTCGACCCAAGGCTGGACTTCGTAAACGGGGTCATACGCAGTGTGACTATAGCCTAGCAAAAACAACAAAAGCCCTACTGATATCTGCCCATGCACCCTGAAAACATACTGACCAATCCTACCTGCAAACACTGGATAGCACTGGCATCTGCTCTCTTGGCAAAGTAGCCACTTGGCATCCAACCAGTTCTTTTGCCCGCATTCCTGAGCCATGAGGAGTATGGTTCCGGGCTTCCCAGCTCACTTCGGAATGGTAAAGAACCCCACTTCGGGATTTGCGACTGCTGTGCAGAGGTTGCATTCGTCAATTTGGGTTTTGGGGTTTCACGACATGTTTTCAGATCCTGGACCTGTCACTGACACCGGAGACCCGAAAACCTGAAGTCTAAACGCCAAGCTCGACACAAACCCTTCATAGAGCTTATAAGCCATTGTAAACCCCATAAGCCTGCAGCCTGAACCCACCCTAACCTGTAAATCAGCGTGGGTACTCCGCACCGTCGATTGGGAGATCTAAGTCCCAAAAGCCTTTACTGGGAGGTCCAAGACCTAAGCACTGACTGCCTCGTTTCGAAGTTCGAAGGGGGCTTGTTGACATGACGGTTTGGGTTTCGGGTTTGAGACTTGTGATTTTGCCTAGGATGGCTCAGCCCGCCTCTGTGTGCTTCTATAACCCCATAGCCTACTTACAGCCCACTGTTAACTTATATGATCTGGGACCAGTGCCTCATGGAGTCTGGAAGATGAGAAATCCAACACGTCCTGAGTCTTTAGGAACTCAGCACTAGACCCTGAAACAGGCCAGAAATCCCGCGAAAACGGGGGGCCGAGTAGCCTGCATGGTTAAACTCCAGAATTTCCCCATGTAGACGCTAAGCACTACCCCTGAAAGTTCGGGCGGAGGGTTTAGGTCTAGTTAGGGTCTCGGGGTTTACCATGTAGATCTCTTAGAAAATCACGGGGGTCGCAGACACGATGAATGCAGCTCGGCAGCCACGCAGGCCTCGGATGCGTCAAGGAGGAGCTCTACATGCCAAAGACGCTAGGGCGATGGGCGTTATGACTTCAAGGGTTCGTGTTCACATGCTTGGAGGTTTTGGAGGTTGGGATTTGCAAGTTAGGGTTTATGATTATAACCATGATAACCCACGTTGGGGCTCGGAACCGTGTGGCCGTAGGTGCAGCGTTTTGGTGGCTTAGGTGTTCCGTCAGCTTTACGGAGGGTTTAAGGGTCTAAAACGAGAGCTTCAGCGATGAAGGCTCGTAGGGTTTCCGGGTGAGTTCCTTACCATTCAGACCTGAAGCCAACAATGCTCTAACGAAGGCTGTGCTCGTCTCTTCAAGATCTGGTGCTTTCGAGTTCAGGGTCTTGGGCTTACTATCTCCCTCGCTTAATCTGGCTTTGGGTTCGGGTCTAGGGATTACGATTTAGGATTTGGGGATTAGGGTTTGGGGATCCCATCATACACAGGTGCGAGCAGCACAAGAAAACATGTCCTGCGCCAGTTTGAGCAGGGTGTCAGGCTAAGCATGTTTTGATGCCAGGCCAGCTGTAATTCCCGGTGCCCGAAACCCAAAACCGGTCCCCAGCTCAAATAATGCTCGGAATCGCCCCAAAAGTCTGCCGTCGTATGCAAAAATATAAGTCCTTCAAGCTTTAGGATAGGCAAGCAATGCCCTTGGGCTTCGACGCGGCAATTTTTTCAATAGAGAAGCCAGGCCTATGCCCTGACATTCCACGTTTTCAGCTCTATTCTTCTCCAGGCACCTCAGCTCTCCTTCTCTTTGCCGGCCGCACCTCGTATTCGGGTCGAACCCCGAGCTGCCTAGCCATCTGCCGAGCCTTGACCTCGGCTTCCTCCATGACACTGTATGTGCCACTGTTCAGTGCCTTCTTTGTGACGGGATGATACAACCGCACCTGCCACTTCTGGTGGCCTTTGTGAAAAACAACACCCCTCACTGTTGACCTGGGAGGTTTCGGCTTTGGGGGCTTCAACTTGCCCTGGCGCACGAGCTCCTCTCTGTAGGCCTTTGCTTCCTGCAGTGCGGCTTCGACGGCCGCCTCCTCGCCAAGGCCCTGCTCGAGAAACTTGGAAATTGCAAAGTAGCGAGCGCTCGCTTTGCGAACGCCACCGCGTGTATAGGTTCGTTTGCATTTCCAACTTGCGTCCTTCACATACCAGCTGATGTTCTGTATGCCGCTCTGGCGCTCCAGTCTTACCCCGACCCTGTGAGCAGATTCCGCCAGGGCTTTGGCTGCAGATTGCACATGCGGCTTCGGCTTCGAATGTGTCTCTACCTGCAGCAAGTGGTCAACCACCTGTTTGATTTTCAGCCAAGCCTTCCCTGCAGCAGCACCTTGAATCTCTCCAACCTTGCTCTCGAAATTGCTGATCTTCTGTTGCACGCAGTCCAGGACATGCTCGATCGCTTGACAATCGAATTGGTTCATTTGCCACATATGCAGAGCTTGCAGAAACAAAGACCGAATTCTCTTTTGCAAATCAACCGCCGGATCCTGTGATTCCGGAGCAGCTCTGACTTCGCCTGTGTCTTTGGCATCGGCATCCTGTACCTTCGCATGCCTGCGCGGACCTGCAAGGCAGGCTGCAGCCATGTTGAGGACGTCTGCCAGCTCTTCCTGGCCCAAGCTCCTCCGTGAGCGCCTTGATGCCACCTCGGCCTGCTGCAAGCGCTCTAGCTTCTGAGCGTTATCAAGAAATGACCACTCGTTAATCTTGCGAAACAGCGTGAGGTGCTGGTCAGACAAGGCAGATGCACGGGCAGATCGGGAATCGTCCGTGTCACGGACTTGCAGGGCTTCGTCCTGCTCGGCTGTCAGCTCTGCTGCAACGATGTCTTCATGCCTAGCGACAGTCACTGTGCCTGCAGCTGTTTCGCGGCAGCGGCGGCGAAGCTTCCGATAGCTAGTTTGCAGCCGCGTCTCTGCCTTGGCCCAAGCGACATCGGCTGGCCTGGGGAGCGATCGGAGCACGGCTTGCATGTCACGCAGGACATCGTTCAACCGAGAAGGCAGCAGCTCACCATCCATCTTGTCCATGAACTTCGTCAAGAGCCGGAACTCAGCCACTGTTGGAATCCGGCCCCGTGGGCAGTAGGCGATCCAGGATGCCACCGGCGCTGCAAGCCTTCGGAGGGCTGACTGGTCGACATTGTCGGCTTTCTGCGAATACCTGCTGATCCTGAGCTGTCTTACGTTTGGGCTCTCTTGTCTATTCTCGCCTGCCTTTTCCTGCCACTCCAGCTTCTGATGCTGCTGATGGTCCGCAACCACGATGACGATCACAACAAAAACAACAACGGCAAAAACAATAACAACAACAACAACAACAACAACAACAACAACAACAACCAACAACACCAACAACACCACCTCCACCACCACCACCAC